TGGTGTGGAGCATCGATTCATCATGGACACAGGAAGCAGCGAATCTATCCTACCGAAATCGGCATTCACTGCGATCTGTCCTAATGCTGTTCTAGCCCCGACTTCAGTGCGCATTCATGAGTCTACCAATTCTCAGATCAGGCTCAACCACGACATCAACGTGCTGCGCTAGACCATGGGACAACAAAAAATATCGGTGTAAAGTCCGCGTTCCTCCTTGGAAAGCTCGTAAACTACTCTGTTGGTTCTACCCGTCCTTTCAAGGTGGTTCTAGGATAGGAAGGTGAGGCATTTTCCGTGTTTCAAAGGACACGTAGGCTGAAGGGTGAAAGAATACTCATTCTCTGAGATCTAGACGCTGTGCAGAGGGAACAACGACGAAAGGCACTCTCCGAACTGCACGAGCGCCGCTCAGTGGGGGAGAAAATCTCGTAATTCGGGATTTTCGGGTGCAGAAGATGCGCCCTTACTTCCGTCGGAGACCCCCGTTGATCGCGTCTTCAAAAAAGACTCCGGAGTAGGGCATTGGGGGGCAGAGGAGGTCTGGAGTAGAGGACCCGATATAATGCTTACGAATCATAGGGGTGTTTTAAATAAGAGGGATGAGTTGGAAATCGGGGTGCAGAATCATAGTCCAACTGTGGTGACACTCACTGAAACCTGGTTGAACGCTAACACTATGGACTCGGAAGTCGTTTTCCCCGAGTATACCACGTTTTGAGGTGACAGAAACCCTTGACGGATTGGTGGAGTTGTAGCACCGTTCATCCGATCTGGCGTCCCCGCGGTTTAACTGAAAACATATGCGAACCCACAAGATTTCGAAGAAGAGGTCTAGTGTAGTGCCAAGCTAACATCAGGAAGATACGTGAACATAAGGGTATTATATCGAACCCCAGCGGTAGCCGTCTTCGATCTCCTGACAACCCTGCGTAGATGGGCAGGTGAAAGTCGATGCCTTATTCCTGGGGAATTCAACGCTCCTAACGTGAACTGGGTAGCAAGATTGACTAGAACTGGCACGGATCACTTCTCGCGTGAATTGTTGAGTACCTTACAGGAACTTTTCTTGTCTCAGCATGTGTAGTCGCCGACGCGGCAGCAGGGCGGGCAGGGATCGATTCTAGACATGGTGATATCGCCGTGGAGTTCCGATGTAGAACAGATCAAGCATCACCCTCCGTCAGGGTGCAGTGACCATATGGTATTGGCTATTCCAACGCACACCTGGGATTACATAGAGGTCGAAATGTATGGTGCATACAGTGTGATGCGGCACGGGCGGCCGCCATGGCTGTGCCGTGGCTCCCACCGATCCCTCACGAGGTGAATGACGTAGAGTTGGTATGGGTACGCATTCGGGACGGTATCCTCAACCTTACTGACACGTTCACCCCAGCAACTCGCAGTAGACTGCGAACACTGGGGTCACCATGGTTCGATCCTGGACTGCAACGATTACTCCGGTGTCGAAATCGCGCTTGGCGATCTTTTCGGGTCATCGGTGCAGGCTAAGACCTTTATCGGAGAATTCGGAACGAGTGCACGGAATTGAAACGACCCAAGTGGAGGACCCTCGAGGAGAAGCTGGTATCTGACTCAGTGAAGGCACCTAAACGCCTCTTTGCTTACCTAAAGCGGCGCACGAGAGCTAGAACTGATATCCCAGCGTTGATCGATGGAGTTGACAAGGTTGAAACCGACGAAGATAAAGCGGAAGCACTGGTCACACAGTACCGCTCAGTGTACATAATAGATGCTGGCTCGCCACAAACAGCAGCCAGAACCACATCGATGTTCACCTTCGAAGAGTTTTTAGAAGGGGAGGTAACAAAAGTGCTCCAGTCGATCAAGACCAGTCAGTCTCCACGATCGGATGGAGTTCATCCCCTCATTTTCAAGGAACTGGTGGTCCGGCTCTCCCCCTCAATTACGTGGCTATTCAACCTATCAATGTGCTCGGGAAGACTGCTCCAAGAGTGGAAGAAAGCGGTTGTGGTCCTGCTTTACAACGGCGGAACGAAAGCTGCACCAGGCAAATACCACCCCGTGATCCTCACATCGATTGTCGGTAAGACGATAAAATTGTTGGTGGTTTCACGACTTACGGATCACTTTGAGCAACACCAATGGATGTGTAGGGAACAACAAGGAATCCGTCAGAGGCTTTCCTGCATGACTAAATTGCTGCTTGCTCGGGAACGTTAGTTTAGAGGCAAGAACGAGGGATATGGTACGGACGTTATCTTCGTTGACTTCAGCAAGGCTTGCGACAAAGTATCTCACGACAAGTTGCTCATTAAACTCAGGGCTCTGGGTGTCACAGGATCCGCCCTTCGCTGGCTGGAGGATTTTCCGAAAGGGAGATCCTTCTCAGTGAGAGTTTCACAGGCGCAATTGGAAGTACCGTGTTGCAGTAGTCAACTGAGGAACAAGATTGGGTGTTGTTGCCACCAGCAACCTGAAAACTCGTTCACATACAGAAAAAGCTTGTGCCTCTGAGTGGAGTATGTTAGGTGCTATCCGCCATTCGTTTGGTCCGTTACCCCTGGCGGCCTTCAAATTACCGTATGTCTCCCACGTACGCTCTAGATTGGAATATGGCGATCCGGCGGTCTTTTCTCGTACGGGTTCTGAGGTTACCGAACTGGAGAGAGTTCAAAGGGCTGCTACACGCCTCATCGAAGGACTACGTGGGATCAGCTACGAGGGCCGATTGGGAGCAACTCGACTATTCCTCATGTCATACAGACGACTGAGAGGCGAACTGATATACACTGGACGCATCATCTGGGGACTTTTGGCCCAGAATTGCAGTTGGAATTCCCCATCATGAAAAACAACCGCATCAGGGGACACGCACTGACGCTCCGCAAGATTCAATCAAACAGTCTCCCGCTGATCTATCATCTGTCGAGGAGGGTGACAAACCTTTGGAATGCACTTCCGGAGGACGTGATGGAAAAGCCAAACGACAGCATCTTCAAGCTGAAACTCGACAGAGCTATACAGGAGCACTGGTCTGGTATCAACAACTAATCAGCCCAGTGGATCACAGTGAGATGGGGCTAATACGGGACCTCCCACTGCCTTTAATAATTGAAGACTTAAGATTGAAGAGTACTTGTCGAAACGATGTTGTGCGTTCAATCTGAGTCCGCTGTGTCAAACCCATCCGATTCCTGGTATCAGCCCAGTCTGTTCATTCTGCGCCTGCGAGCAATGCAGCTACTACAAGGATCAATCACAATAAATACCAACAACGATAAGTCAATCACTTCACATCTTCAACATTTGATTGTACAATGTTCTGATAACGTTGGTGACATGAAAGTACCGTCGGTAAAGCTGGAAGTGGACGGTGAACCTATTTTCCTAACATTACGCGTCCTCCCATACGGTCAACGGGAAGGTGTCCTGAAAGCGTTAAAGAAAATGAAGCAGGATGGTGTGTTAAACAAAGTTGAATCCAGTGCCTCGATTGTCGTGGCGATGAAAAGTGATGGTAGGACACCGCGGACTTGTGAAGACTATCGACTAACATTGAATCCCCGATTGCGGAGATGTGCGGCTACCACCATGGAACCAGAAGATTTCATGAAGTCATTGCATGGTTGCCAGCATTTTTCCAAGATCCATTTGGCGGATGGATACTGCTACGTACGCATTCGTCTATCAGTTCCCATCGATCGTCCAATCGCGTGCCACAGCTGGTCATGACAGACACTGACTAATACTCCCACAATCCGTTTTTGTCCATGCGCCATCTTGACCTAATTGTCGGTCATCGTTTAATCGATTGATATACTCTCGCGCTCACTCATTAAATCGTTAACCCGATTCCGANTGTGGTGCTCACTCACAGAGAAATCATCAATTTCCACATGGAATCGATGGAAAAAGATATTCATGGACTATATTGAATTGTTACCTGTGCTCTATCCACAAACAGTGCTTACCGATTCACACAAAATAAAACTCTTTCGCCAATTCGTTGGTGGTGAAGGCCAGCGTCATTTCCACGCATTGCATATTGGTGACAATAGCACTTTGGACAAAATACTCAATACATTCAGTGAACTTTGGGGTTCTCGATCCAGTGCATATACTGCCAGATACTGCTTTTCTAAACTGCACCAAAACGCTGAAAAAAACGCAAAACGATTTCATTGCAAGAATTCAACAATCGCTGCCGGACTGTCGGTATGATGAAATACCGAGTAGCAAGATAGAGGAAGAAATGGTGATTCAGTGTCTAATAACTGGATTACGGAGCGATCTAGCTCGCGAGAAATTACTATCGGAAGAAGAATCTAAACTCACCTGGGAAAGGGCATGTGCAATCGTTCAACATCAAGAGAACATCACCCATCAATTAACTCAGTTTTCCAAAATTTCAGGCCCAGACAACGTGCAAGCATTGAAACGGAGAATCACGTCACTCACAAAACGTTCAGTCAACGAGTTTGTATGTTATCACTGCGGAAATAAACATGTACCAGCGGACGATTATCGACACAAACAAACAATTTGTCGCAACTGTGGGAAGATCGGGCATCTGGCATGTGTCTGCAGAGCAGCACCACAGAGCCATCCGAACAGAAAGCCATTTGGGAAATCTGTTACTTTTGTGCAGGAGGAAGTAAGCAATAATTCGAGAAACGAATATTCATTTGACGAAATAAATACTGCTATGACATATGGTTACTCACGTTCACCGCCTTACTACATACAAGTCGAAATCGAAGGAGCGCCTGTTCAAATGGAAATTGATACTGGAGCATCCGTGTCGATAGTAAGCGCCAAGACTGTCAAAAATGTACCCCGATTGACCAATTGACAATCCACGTTGAAAACCTGCACAGGTCAAACAATCCCGGTTTTGGGTAAATGTGATGTGCATATACAGATACATGGTGAGAAGCGCATACTCCCAGTCTACGTTGTAGGAGATCAATGTTCTAACTTGTTTGGTCGGGACTGGATAAGGGCGTTTCCAAACACATTGGATACAGTGAAGCTGGCTGCCTCCAAATCAACCTTTGAAACAATTTGCACGGACAATGGAACACCGAGTACCAGTGAAGAGTTTCGAAAGTTTCTCCGCAGCAATGGAATACAGCATATTTGATCAGCTCCTTACCACTCGACATCGAATGGCTTGGTGAAACGAGCAGTGCAGACGGTCAAACAAGGCATTCTCAAACAGAGTGCAGGAACCCTGCAGACCAAACTGGACAGAATACTTTTGCTAACCGAACAACTGCTACAGAAACCACCGGGCAATCCCCAGCTGAATTAATGTTTGATCGTACACTCCTTAAAAGGTTACAACTACTGTTTCCCTCCGCCAGGGTAAGAATATAAGGACAGCAGGAAACGTTTAGTGCACAGACAAATCGAACTGAAGAACGCTTGTATAATGAGTCCGATCCGGTTTATACGAGACTCCCACATGAGTCCACATGGCATCCAGCCACAATCTACTGGTAACATCACTACTCTGAAGATCGGCGATGGGTGAATTGTTTGCCGACACTTTGACCATGTTCGACGTTCCGTGACTGAAAGTTCTTGAAGCGACGATAATCCACTCAGAACCGAGCAACCGACTTATTCTCCATGTGCACCTTCACAAGCTATAAGTGTCCAACCAACAGGGCCCGCTCTACGCAGATCCCAACTTATCCCTAAACCAGTTGATCGCTATGAGGTAACAACGTACCACGTTATCTAAAAGACGGAGGGATGCTACGTGCGCATTCGCCTATCGGTTCCCATTGATCGTTCAATCACGTGCCACAGCTGTTCATGACAGACACTGACTAATACTCCCACAATCCGTTTTTGTCCATGCGCCATCTTGACCTAATTGTCGGTCATCGTTTAATCGATTGATATACTCTCACGCTCACTCATTAAATCGTTAACCCGATTCCGATTCGCATGCTGTCTTGTGTGTTCTGATTTTTTGGGTTGGGTTATGGGCCTTAAGTTACTGCGCATAGCGTCGCGGTTGGAATTCGGTCATAACACATAGCTACAGATTACACTCGATGTTGAATTTTCCTACTTGGAAACAATCAACATACCGTGGGGAATGTACCAGAATAATTTTCTCCCATTCGGATTGCATTTGTCGTCTGACCTCTTTCAATCGGCAACAGTCAGTGTAATCAAAGGACTCGACGATGTGCTTGCATATCAAGATGACGTCCTCATTTTCGACCTGAATAAGAAAGAACACGATGCCCGTGTTACGCAGTTACTGGAACGATTCATCGCCATGAACGCGGCTATCAAGCCGTTCAAATGTGTGTTTATTGAGAAAGAGTTGGAGTTTCTAGGATTCACAGTTGATTCCCGTGGATACCGTCCCGATCCGACACGTTTCAAACCATTGACTAACATCGAATCTCCAAAGAATCAAACGCATTTGAGATCCGTGATGGGATGTCTACAGTACTATTCCCGATTTATCCGGAACTTTGCTACAAGGACGCAGCCACTTTCCCGTGCTCAATGCTCAGACGCTTGGGAACGGTTGGGGGATCGTCCTGTTTTGGCCCCGTTTTCACCATCACAACCTACCTTACTAATCAGTGC